TCTCTCCTCTCCTCTCTCCTCTCTCTCTTCTCTCTCTCTCTTCTCTCTCTCTCTCTTCCTCTCTCTCTCTCTCTCTCTCTCTCTCTCTCTCTATCTATCTCCTCTCTCTATCTCTCTCTCTCTCTCTTCTCTCTCTCTCTCTCTCCTATCTCTCTGGTTGCATTGCTCCGCACAGAAACGGAGTATTTCTCGTTTGGCATTACTCGTCGTACATGATCCCTCATGTGAAAACTAATAATTAGTACCTGTCGCCGTCCCCGGCTTACGACCAGTGAGCTGTCATCACACGTAATTTTGATGTCTGCGATCCAGGGGCGCGGCTAGAGCCTAAGGGGGGGGGGGACCCAAGGAGTGCCCTGGAAAATTAACGCCGGTCAAAAAAGATCGCCGGATACGCCAGCGTGTTAGTAAGGGCTTGTCTTTCCTTGTTATTTTTTTCATCTCTGCCTTCGATAGTTGGGACAGAAGCCAGAGCCCAGGAGATCAATGGCAGGTAATGAGATCAATTCTACTGAATTTTATAGTCAAGAAACAAAATAAAAGAAGGATCGCCGGATAGGCCAGCGTGTTAGTGAGGGCCTGTCTTTCTTCGTTATCTTTTCATTTTTGCCTTCCATAGTTGGAGCAGAAGCCAGAACCCAGGAGATAAATAACAGGTAAGGGGATCAGTTCTATCTGAATTTCATAGTCAACAAACAAAAGGAAAAATCATGCGTTAAACAACGACACACGCAGTGTATCGCCAGCCGATTTCATTTTACAATGTTCCAGCAGACTCTTTCTAAACTGTTGGAACTCAGAAGCTTCGCGAGAATTTCTACCTGGGTCCTTCAGAGAACGCAAAGCCCAGAAAATGTAGATCGTAGGTCGAAATGGGTCAACAATTTGACATGGCCAGGCCGTGTTTGTCTAAAATTGTTCAATGCTCAGTAAGGTTCGATTAGTGATACTAATTAGTGGCGTACTTTTGAACATGCGCGCTGGTAAATTTTAGCAAGATAACCTTGAAGCTAGGCGTTACAGTTTCCATAGGCCGTACAGCGTCAGCCCTGCGGTTAACAGTAAGCTGTAGTCAACGGGCGGACGGAAATGATGACGTAGCTGAAAGACCAACCTTTGAACATTGTAAGACGTCAAACCGCACATATAGAAGACAGTCAGAGCGTATCTCTTACCGGTGCGATTTTAAGACTGACGATGAGAACAGGTTGGGCTTAGCAGCACTGTGAAGAGGTGATGGAATCTGGTGGTGAAAGTGAAGAATGAATATAGAATCTTTATTTTCGGGTTGCTGTAACTAAGAATTTGTTCAGAGGATAATATCAAAGCTGTTAAAAACTCCACTAAGTGTACTCTTTAAACGGTGCGAATAAATCTTGTCAGACATGCGGAAGCATTATTTCACGACGATCGTTACCACGCATGCGGTGCACGTCGTATTATTACTTGCAGTAGCCAACGCCGTTCGGTTTTAAGAAAACTACAACCCAGGCCATCACTGAACTCGTTTCCGAGATTGCGAACGCGCGGGCTCAAACCTTTTGATGCATTTTGTTTCACTTTTCGGTTCTGGAAAAGAATTAACGTTCTCAGGCAAACATAGGCTGGCCTTCTTCACTTCCAAACTTATCTCAACTCATTCCATTAAACACTCCTTACTTTGTCCGGGTAAGAGACCCCCAGAGCAGAACACTAGGAGGCACATCATTTTTTACGGTCAAGGGATGAAGAGCCATTCCGTCCCACCATGGGGTGTCTTCCCGCAGTCATTTTGGCGACACGGAACGGATGCCTTGGTCGGTCCGGAGGCACTTAGAGGGACACATCACATCACATCGTATATCACAGATAATCATGTTTTGTTTCATTGCCAGAGGGTCCCGACTAACGCAAGAGCCCTTTGGCATTCGGGGTCCCGTCCCCGTCCCTGTTCAGCAAATGTTCTCTTCCTGGCTCAAGGCCCCTTATTAACACAGGACACTCTGTTAGGCACTGTGAGCCCCGTACCGATACAGGAGCGTAAATGGTGGACCCAGCCTTTTCCCTTGTTGGGAAATGGGCCCCGCAGCTCAGACCGACACGGGGCACACTGCTACACTGTTCGGTGTAACGGTGTGCCTGTTAACGGAGGGCCTCTGGCACTGATTGGGGACTCCTGGGACAGCGTGTTTCACTATTTCTCTGATCGAAATGGTGAAACACGCTTGTCCCAGGAGTCCCCAATCAGTGCCAGAGGCCCTCTAACAGGCATTCGAGATCATGGCCTTACGGGGGTCCTGCAGATCTCAGCTAGCTCTTCGGGATCTTCAACCTTTCAGCCTCGGGCCTTTTGGACACAATTTTAATCTTTGGTCTCGAGAAATCCTTCGGTCCCTCTTCGGCGCGCTCAAACACGACTCCTGGCCGACTTGGGGCGACTTGCCACCATAGGACCCCTGGTAGAAACTGTGGCCCCTGACTGACACAGAGGCCTTTCATCGTGTCAGGGACCATGAACATGACGAATCACGGACCTCGGCCACGTACCTACATGGGAAGTGCGTCCCAAGGGCTCAGACGTACATGGAGCCGACTGTTTGGCTCCGTGTCGAGGCCCTGTATAATATGAGTCGAAAACCCTAAAAGGGAGGCCCTAACAAAAGCCCTCAAACTTACATTTCAGGTCACGGCACCACGGGTGTGGGGGGGGGGGGAGGGAGCCGATTCAAATAGGGCCCTTGACCTTTGGTCCCGAGTGGCCTTTCGGTCTCATCTTCGACCCCCCCAAGCACAGCTATTGGCGACTTGGGCCACTAACCGACATAGCGACCCCGATCAATTTTTCAGGGACACCGGCCAATGCAATCGTGGCCTACGGTCTCGCTCCTGCTTGGGAAATGGGCCCCCAGGGTACAGACTGGCAGGGAGCCAACTGCTCGGTATTAGCGGTCACTAGCCGACAGACACCCGTACTGGACCAGGGGGTCTCCATAAGGTGCATG